AAAACATATCAGTACGCCAATTGCAGTTTGCAGCAGCGCCATTCACGTCAATCCACACCGTTCCACTTCTAATTCCAACACCAGCCGCGCCTTCCATTTCTCACCATTCCATTCCAGTTCCACCACAGCACAACCGCAGTGCTGTTGCAGCACTACCATCCGCACCAATCCGCACCATTCAGCAACTTCACCCGCGCCGCAGAGTGCTGTTGCTACACTAACATCAACACCAAACCATTCCATTCTACCCCAACACACAATCTCACCAGCGCTACAGATGCAGTGCGGTTTCAACAAATCGACACCAAACCACTCCATTCCACACCAACCCCAACCTAGTGCAACAACTGCAGTGCTGTTGCACTACTAATCAACACCAATCCACGCCATTCAGTAGTTTCAGCCACACCGCAGTCGCAATGCGCTACAACACTATCAACACCAAACCACTCGATTTTATCCCAACCCCACCGTAGTGCCACAACTGCAGCACAGTTGCAATACTGACATCAGCAACTATCCATATAACTTCCATACGAATCCCACCCTAGCAGATCCGCGGTTGCAGCATTAACATCAACGCGAAACCACTCCATTCCTTGCAGATCCCAGTAGTATGTACCCGTTGATTCAAAAGAATTGGCGGCTGGTAGGCGACCTTTGCGCCTGCGACGCAGTTTCCGTCTCTCTCGCGAGCTTGCTCTCTGATCATTCTTTAGCCTTGATTAGGCCTCGAAGCACCGCCTTTTAGCCGCCATTTCCGTCGAAAAAGAAAGGTATTATCGTAGCACTACTACCAATACCACGTTTTTCTTACTGTTCTCACCTTAACGCCATGACTGCAGTGCTGTTGCAACACTAACGTCAACATCAAGCCACTCCAACCATAAGCACCCCACCGCACCCTAGCGCCAAACTGCAGTAGTATTAGTATTGATCAACACCAATCCATACCATTCAGCAATCTCACCCGCGCCACAGATGTGCTGTCGCAACACTAACAACAGCACCAAAGCACACCATTGCATACGAATTCCCACCCTAACACAACTGCAGTACTGTTGCAAATTATCTAATCCATACAGGGACTTTCAACCTGAGTGTCACGGTCGGTGCCG